TTTAATTAATATATAATAGTTAATTTTATAAATTAGCAAGTCCATTCCTATCTAAGTGATGGAAAGGGATATCACTATGAAAGCAAAAAATTAGATTGACATAGTTCACTTTTAATACAAATTCCGGAAAACAAAAATCAAATTGGACAAACGAATCAATAGTTATATAAAACTCTAGCCAATTTCAAAAGTAATAATTTGAACATTAATGTTTTAAAGGGAAGAGTGAAGTTGTTTTAGCCTGCAAAGTTTTCATATGTTGGTTTTAATTTTTGATAGCTGGAGACGAATGTCGGGTTCAGCTTCGGTGTTTAGTTTTGGTGGCTGTACAGGTAGAAAATCCGGATTCTCATAGGTAATTTGTGGCAAATGAAAGAACACGCTTTTTCAACAAGCGGTTGAAATTTTTTGTTGTCCAGTCGGAGTCAAAGTTTGAAGTAATGTCCATCATCATTCGTATTCACTTGGCTAGGTTGGCTTTGCTGAAAGTGAAAACGGTTTGACCACCCGTCTTGCAGCATTGTATCTCGTGCTACTGGGAAGTAGTCCTCAAAAGACATCTCGAAACATCGAAGGTGATCACATATTTCATCAATCAACGTGTCGTTCGCAAGCTCCAGTTTGTTTTCTTTTAAAAAATCATTTAAAACAGGAAAACATTCCACCTCATCAGATTAACAGATTCACACAATTCTGAATTTTCCTTTTGAAGGCGCGAACGTAGTCATTAGCATCGAAAGTTGTGATACTTTTCCCTTGCAAACAACTCAACTCATTCTTTTCATGAAAATAACTGATAAATACGACAGTATACATTGCCGTGCCTCATCACTGAAAACGTTGGCCAATTTGACATTGTGGTTCATCAACTAGATGAGACTTCAGAACGTAATTCCTGTGAACTTGAGACATCCACTTCACTTCTGTAAGGGAATGATGAAGGCTTCCCATATCATCACATAATATTGTGAAAAGTCCTGTCTTCAATAGCTGCGACTTGATATAATTAATAATTTGAACTGACTCATCCAAAATTTGCTTAAAAGAGGCCCACATTGGTTTCATAGATAAAGCATGACTGTGGGGAACGCAATGACTGCTCCTGCAAAATAAAACCTTTCGTTTTCAGTACTTGGCAGACCACAGTTTGAGAAGCCCCGCCATAGGCAACTATGGATTGAACAAGAGAAATATAAGCTTTGCCTAAATGAACAGGGATATTTGTAATTTATTCTTAATTCATTAATTATTTTAATAAAATTAACCATATATTCTTGTTAGTTGGATCAAGCAAAATAGAAAATACAAACCGCAAGCAAACATTTGTTAATCCTTATTTTTAATTACAGATTTAATTAAGAATAGTAAACATGAAGATTACTTCTTTTGTTAACAAACACCTTTTCCCGTCTTTTCTCCATTTTAATCTAGTTGTATTCTCTTTAACCATGGAAAGACATCATCTTGAACCAGAAGTTGGCAATATTATAGTGGCAATGAGTCATCGAGGTCATCGGCAAGTGGATATCGCATACGGGTTTGGCGTTTCTCAGAGCGTGGTCTCCCTGGCTTTAGCCCAATTCCGAAGTGTCATAGGAGTCCTGGTAGTGGATCTCAGCGCATTATGACGATAAGGGAGGACAGAAATATTGCCATTGCTGCAAGACGGAATTCTTTCCATAGATTCGTAATCGTTTGTGGGAAGTTGGCCTCAATCGTACGCCCCTTTCAGACGACCTGCAGCAACAGCCCTCCACCAGCAACTCATGGTGCCGCAAGCGACTAGAAGAGAACTCCAATTGGAATGCGGTTATTTATAATTACTATTGAGTCGCGTTTCTATCTGGGTTCCAGTTATTTATAATTAATTACTATTGAGTCGTGTTTCTATCTGGGTTCCAGTTTGTTCTGCTATACAGACCGCAACGCGCCTCGTAAGTATAACAGCATTCCAATTGGTGTGCTCTTCTATTCTGTTGCAGCACCTTGAGTTGCTGGTGGCGGGCTGTTGCTGCAGGCCGTCTCAAAGGGGCATACGATGTGAGGCCAACTTCCCACAAACGATTGGCCTTGACAAAACATCCAGTACTTCATTTAGGATATGGCGGGCACTATGGAAAGGGTCTTGCAGCAATGACGATATTTCTGTCCTCCCTTAGCGTCGTAATGCGCCGAGATCCACTATCAGACCTCCGATCGGCACTTCCGGTCTTTCTTTTCTCAGTTCTTCAAGACTCTCGCAATGGGACTAAAGCCCATAAAGCACGCCCTCAGAAACTCAACTGCCTCTGCGATATCCACTTGCCGGTGACCTCGATGACTCATTCTCGCAATAATATTGCGAACTTCTAGTTCAAAATGATGTCTTTCCATGGTTAAAGAGGATAAAACTATATTTTTCATTTTTTACAAAATGAGTAATCTTCATGTTTATTGTTCTTAAGTAAATCCTTTAGTAAAAATTAGGATTAACATTCGTGGATTAGGATTAACATTCGTTTGTTTTTGGTTTGTATTTTCTGTTTTGTTTTGTCCACCCAACAAGAAGATATCGGTTAATTTAATGAAAAAATCAATAGAATAAGAATAAATTACATATATTCATTTTTGCGCAGTTTATATTGTCCTTAAAAATTCAATTTCCATGAGTTACATAAAATTTTAAATTTCTAAAAGCGCTTTCTCAGACGGGAGACTAAAGAATCAATATTATATTTTATTTCAATTAATTGTTCTTTTTGATTAAGGTCTTGGCTGAGATGAAAAAAGTGTCACGAGCGGGATTCGAACCCACGACCTACGGCTGGATCGAAGTCACGATAGCTCAAATGGTTAGAGCAGCAGTGTAATTAGCCGAAGTTCGTGGGTTGGAATCCTGCTCGTCACATTAGCTTTTTCATCTGAACCAAGACCTTACATAAAAAGAATAATTAATTGAAATAATAAAATGGCCACTTAGACCACTAAACATAAATGGATTATATTTTATATTATTAAATTTCAAATTTGAGTCCAATGTCAAACCAAGATGTCTAACACTGCAAGCAAAAGAGATAGAACATTATCATCACAAATATAAAAAATCAGTTTTAAATTATTAGTATTTATCTTTTTTTAATGAAAAATGTAATATATTACATTTTTTAAAGAAACACTTTAGAATAAAAGAACCAGACATTTAAACACTAGTAACCTAACCTTTGCCCAATAGTAAAAACCATATCAGAAATGGTGAGGGTTCGAAAAGTGTTTCTTATTCTTCGTTATTAATTAATAAAAGTAAGGCAAATCGGCAATTAAAATAGAAATAAACGGATAAACATCTTTCAATTCATTGACGGGCGTTTCGTTTCTTTAACAAGCACTGTCATACTTCTTCGGTCAAAACTTCAAATTCGAATTACTAGTTTTTATTACAGTTAATTAAATAAATTAATCGAGGTGGAGAGAGTTGGCAGATGTCATTGTATTGCGCGAGTGCGGAAGATGACGTCGACATAAACAAGGAAGCTGTAACGAGGCAAATCAATAGATTCGGCTTAACGTTAAAACTCGACGAGATTAAAATATCTCGACTGGATCCGACCGTGTAGACAAAAATTGATGAATTAACACATTTTTCGTGCAAAATTCCATAGAAAAACATTGTTGTTTAAGTCGAGTCCGAGGAGGTTGGCGGAAGGCAGGTTAAGATGGATGAACTTTTCCAAGACTTGAAAATAATCGAATCCTTAACAAAAAGAAAATCGTTAACGCGTCTGATTTTTTCCTATCCTACCGGTAATAACCCTTTATTAAACGGAACTTTATTAAAAAGGAACTCAATCTAGGTTTTTCTTTTTTCGCTAACGAAAAGTCGATCATTTTCAAACATTAAAAAGCATTGAAATTTATTGATCCTACACAGTCGTTACGAAAGGGAGGTTTGGACAATCCAGGTTAACATTTCTCATAATATCGGGTTGGAAATAGGGCAAAAGCTTGACTTTCAGGCCTAAAAACTTCCAAATTCAATTTTTAAAACATTCCTCTAAATAACCCTAACACGATATAAAGCAAATTTTCTTGTGGCGCTATTGTATCTAAATTTAACCCTTGTCTAAACAAGGGAAACTGAAAAAAAAAACGAAAAATGTTTCATCCTAATAAACAATAAAGATTATTTTTTTACCCTTTGCGAGCCTAATAGAAAAAAAAAGGTTCAAAGATGAAATAATATTTAATTAATACAAGCTATATTATATTTTATTGGTGGGGGTTGATATTATTGATCCTTTTGATATCAGCCCATGACAGAATGCTGTAATGATCAGGTTGATAACCGTCGAAAAGAAATGCGGACTAGTATTTTGTCCGAGTTGGAGATTTTTATGTTTTTTAATTTCTTTATCATAAAGTAGTAAAAGTTTTTTCTGTATGGTCATGGTTTGTTTGTTTTTAAGTAGTGTTTAGTTGGAAAATATCCTTTAAATTGATTTTTATGAAGATTTTTTTTTTCTTTTTGTTAAGTTGGAAATCTTGAAAACTCATTAATGAAACGGTCTGAATTAAACACGTTTTTTTTCTCTCAGCGATATCCCACATGTTGAGATTTAATTTTGCCAAATTGAAAGATCGGTTAAAAAGCTCGATGAAATTATTGATCCTTCCCAGATAGGCCTTTATTTGGTTGGCGAGAGGTTGAAATGGACCAGGTTAAGAATATTTATCAATAAGAACAAGGCTTAAAGGGACTCAGGAGCCCTAGTCCTTTGTATTCTGTAAAGTTTAATAAAAAGGGCCTTTTTAACGTGGAAAGCTTTTTTTTTTTTTTAATTTGATTAGAGGGAGATTGTCATCTGTCATATAGGCAATCAAGAGGGGGGGAAGAAATATCCCTTTTTCCTTAATGGGTTATTGTTGTGCTTTATAGGGTCTCGAAGTAAGGGAAAAATGACAAAAGGCTGAAAAAGCTTAGTTGTAAATTTTTTGAAATCGATAGGATAATTGTGTCGGCTCACCTGCGCATAGCCATTTCTTTGTATCGGGATCGCCGTTGGTGGGATAGTCGATTTTCACGTTGTCCGTCAGATGAGGGCATTCCATCCTACGAGGTGTAGCCAGGCGAGGGCGTTTCTCGCTCAGTTCGGCGGCGAATTAAAAAGGCCCGGCGTCCGCTCGGCGTTGAACGGGCGAAGGCGAGCGGGCGGAGCGGCTGCCTCGAAAAACGACGTCTGCCAATGGCACTGGCACTGCCGCTGGCGGTGGCGCTGGCACTGGCACACGGACGGCGCTCCCACTCCTCCTCCCGGAGCCTCCTCCGCGCACTCTTCTCCGATTGGGCGAACGGTCTCCCCCGCCTTTTTTCGAATTCTAACGACCCCGACAGCCTTTTTGCATTTGGCCAGGGCCTTGAAATTGGTATTTTTTTTATAATAAAAAACAGAGGGTTAACATTGAAAACAAGAAAAAACAAAACACTATTTTTTATAACAAATTGACAAATGGTTTAAAAAAAGTATGTTCTTTATTTAAACATAAGTTGCAACAAGTATTAAACTACTGTTCATCACAAAAATTTTACAATTTTAATTTTTTTAATTGAGTAATAAAGCAAAAATCTGCTCAAAGTGTAATAAATTACATAGGTAACGATAATTCAAACAAAAATAAAAACAAAAAAGACTGACTTAGTGTCACAGCTATCCCAGTGATAGCCCTCCTAATTTAGATAATTGCTCTGACAGTCACGGGGCCTCTACTTTTCATACATTGATGATTGCTGGAAAGAGATCGGGAGGATAGTAGTTATACGTGGGGATTAGAGGTTAGTGTAGAATTTTCGTAGGTGGATTTTAAAACTTCATTTAAAAAATTTTATTTGGAGATCGTGAGATATGGTCTTGTGTGATGTAGGTTTAGAAAAACATTTCCTTTATTGTGCCAACGTTTCTATCTTTATTTAGATTATCTTCAGAGCCTGGGATTTACAAACATTGTATTATACAAATGCATGCAAGATGTGAAAATGAATTTATACAATTATGTACGCAATATATAAATTTTAGGTTTATTTTTTTGTATAAATATATAAACCATAGTTTTTGTATAAATATATAAACCAAAAAACATCTATATCTTACTAACACTCGCAGCACGACACACAGAAAACACACTTTGAGTGAGTACAAATACTTTCGAATCACAGGTCCTGAAGATGATCTAAATAAAGATCGAAACGTTGGCACAATAAAGAAAATGTTTTTCTAAACCTACATTACACAAGACCGCATCGATAACCATCTCCAAATAATAATTAATGGTCACTAAATACTGCACACTTCATTTAAAAAAGTATCATTTAAGTCGGTATGGATGTGAGGTTAGAAATAAATCATTTAGGTAGGTCGTGACGAGAGTATTTTGTTGTCAAGGGAGCGTTTATGTCTGTTGGCTAGTAGTCTTGTACTTAATTGTCATTGCACTGCTATGCTTGTGGGTCGTGTATGGTCATTCCAAGTGAGTCGTACTAGAGCCCTAGAAAACGGGTGAAGTAATAATAGATTGAAGGTAAATTGTGCGACGGAGGGTGAAGATTATGTTTTGAGACTTTGCGGTGTTTAATTTGATGCGTAATTTTTTGAACATTCATTCCCAGTAGATTATTAATTTCTGCACTATTTTTATTATCCAAAAATATGTGGAGTTATACTAGTCCCTAGCGCTTCTTTATATTACTCTAAATTTCCATATTTATTGGACAATTCTTATAGCAGTTTAAAACAAACAGCGGCACTTGCTTTTAACGCACAATTGAAGGGTTTCCGCCAGGTAAAAAAAGTCTTTAACCTGATGACGTTTGAGACCACCAGTTAGGTTAAGCCTTATAGGGAGGTTCTTGAAACCTACCAAGCAGCTGGAAGAGGTCTCAGCATGTAAATAGGTCCTTTTCGAGCAGATAATTTTTGCTTGCCATGCGATTCAGGTTTGTTTCTTTAGACTTGAACGGGATTATCCTTCAACCGGCCCGTTCAGTCGGCGAGATATACTCCATTGCGGCTTCGAAGTACAGGGTCGAAGCTGACCCGGAGGTCCTCGATTCGAATTTCCGTAAAAGCATGAAAGAAATGAGCTATGCTTACAAGAATTTCGGCAGCGGTTCCATCGGCTGGCAGTCTTGGTGGAAAAAGGTCGTCAGTCAGACCTTCTCGGCGTCCCTGAGACCTGGTGAATTAGACAAGATACCATTCGAACCTTTTGCACAGTCCATGTTGAAACTGTTCGAGTCGAAACAGGCTTGGAAGCTGTGTGATGGTGCAAGAGAGATACTTGAAAGCCTGAAATCCAACTGCGTTTTAGTCGGCGCCATCACCAATAGCGATCCGAGAGTGGATCGCATTTTAGAGGATTTTGGGCTTAGGCGGAACTTCCTTTTTGTCATCAATTCGTACGATGCTGCGACGAAAAAGCCAGACCGGGCCATCTTCGAAATGGCAGAAAAATACTTTGAAGAACAAGACAAACAATTCCAAAAGAAAGATGCAGTGCATATCGGGGACTCTGTTACAAAAGATTACGAAGGAGCCAAAGGCGCAGGGTGGAACGCTCTCATAGTTTCACAAAAAATTGAATCATTACCAGAAGAAATAAGAAAATGGGCTTTCAAAGATCTATTTGAGGTACACCAATATTTGAAAACATAATTATTCATCTATTGGTTTCCCAACTTCAAAACATTAAAAAATAATGTGATATAGAAATAACAAAAAAAAGTTGCTACACATTCAGTTTTTGGTTCTTTCTCTACTGCAGCTATTCATTTTTCAGTGTCTTATGTCTGGTATTACCTCAAGTTCAATACTTTGCCAGAGATAGACAATAGTTGGTATACCAAAGAAAAAAAAGCAGTCAGAAAAACATCTCAAAAATGTGACATGATCAATTTTTTAAAGGAAAGAACAATTTTTATTCTTTACAGTGAAATACTCACATGAGCAAATGTGCTCAGATCATGCAAGGAATTTCTTTCGTTATAAAAGATGCCATCCAATTAGCCGTTTGTGGTTTTTCCCACCAGCCTGTTTTATCTTCAGATCTCTCCATTGACATTAAATATCAATTTTCACAAGTTTCATTCGGCCTACGATAAATTAACAATAAATAAATAAATCTTTATTTTTGTAATTTGTAATTTTTTAAAAATATTTTTTACCAGTCCCATTTGCAAAAAAGTTTATATTCTGACCTTACATGTTGAAATAAGATTTTTTTTTAGTGTGGTAATTAATTTTATTTTACTGACAGTGTGAGGTTTGCAAGTAAAATTTTTATTAATACCAGAGCTAATTGTGCCATTAGTTCGCAGTGAAATAAAAGGGGTTAAAATAAAAAAAGCAATACTGTTGTAAAGAATTTGGTATTGTTCAAAAAAACAATAATTAAATATATAAAAAAAATTTATTGACGCCTGCCATAAGGTTGGTTGGCAGGTTGTGTAAGCTGAAGTCCAGCAATATTGTTGAAATCCTAAAAAAGATTAAAATTTATTTTAGGATATATTTTATTTTAAATTGTGATTACTACTCCAGCAGTTATTTATTAATTACACATACCAGCATCTTCAACATTTCCTTGGTTTCTGGATCGACTTCAATGACATCCTGTTCAAGAGCAGATACATCTGGAACGTAGTTGTCTCTTCTCTCCCTTTCTTCTTCCTGGAGTTTGATTGAGATACCACGGACCTGTGAGTGCCTCAATCGCTTCATCAAGTGGGTAACGAACCTTTAAAAAATTAACTATGTTAGTTACATCATGCTTAGTGATGAACTGTACATTGTAAAATGTGTCAAAAACCAAAACATTTAGGCCTTGGATCTACTCAAAAGAAACCGATTAGTGAGACGTTATTAACAAGTCCTTTAATGTACCATTTCTGAAGATACTAACACTAATAACATTAGTGATTGGTTCCAAGCAAATTACTGCTACTAGTTCTGCTCAGTTGTAGGTTTAAAGATCCACATATGAAACATCAACACTTTCTTTAGACACTTTAATAAAAGGCTACAAATGTAGCATTATTATTGAAAATTTATAAGGTGTGTTGCTGCTAATAACACTTCGTGAGTAGAACCATCCTTTCCAAAAAATGGTTTCTTTCCTGCCAGCAAGTACCTGTGTGTTACCTAATATGACCTACTCAAAGTTTGGTAAATGTGGCTCTTATGCTTTTTGACCTGGCTTCCATAGACCAGGGACTAAAACATGTAATAAACATGATTTGGTGGCTAGTGGTAATCTTCGACACAACTAAATTTCCTCCTGTCAAAATATTTTTATGTAATTTGAAGGCTCATACAATAGTGAACAGTTAAAAACTGCAATACTTGCTAGACTATTTGTTCCTTAGACTTTTAGTCAGATGGTAATCTCTTCACATCTTCATCTTTTGTGTGGAAATTGGAAATAAGGGTTGGTGAAGTAAATTTTTTGTGGGTGTTGGTCTGAATCGTCAGTGAATAGATATTAAACTGGCACTGGAACGCTTATGTTTATTTAATATTATTTAAAAGCATTCTGGCTTTGTAAGGAACTGTCTGGGGGGGGGGAATGAATCTAGTGACCTAGTGTCAGTTAAACTATGTTGGCGCTTCTAATTAAGTTGCATACACACTAAGCAAATCTCAGCGAATGAATATATCAGGCTGAACATTGGTCGCCAACATAGCGATGGAGTATAGTTGTCAAAGAAGCATGAATAACTTTCAAAAAATTTGACTGACAATTTGATTTGGTGGCCCTGTGCCAATCTTCGATACAAGTCAATTTCCTCCATCTCTTACACAATATATAAATCTTTCTAGGAATATGTACAAGAATTATCAAAACCATATCTTTTACACAACAGTTTCAAAAAGTTATAGACTGGTATATTTTTCATTAATCGCAGTATGTTATATATTTTTATGTTAAAAATCATGTTTTTGTATTATAAAATTCTCCCTTTGGCCTTATGCTTAAAACCAGATATAAAATAATATGAAACGTATTGACGTAAAATTTGATAAAATCTATGACATGAAGCATACATCAATTAGATGGTTTTTAAAATGGTACCAATCAGGGGAATGGAACTAATTGTTCATTTATGTTATTGCTTTATTATTTATATAAGCTTAAATCTTTAACTGTTTACTGTTTAACCTATCACTTCTCGCAGTCCACCGGCAATTCCACGTTTGGTAATTTACAATAAATTACCGGCGGGCGTCAAGAATAAACCACCTAGGGTGTTGGCGGACTGGGGTTAGAACTCTGTCTTAACCGTCTTACCACCAAAGTTAGGCTCCGGATGATTGCCATCAGCTAGGTCAATTCTGCACCCGATACATGCAGTCCCTAGATCCAAACTCATTCACATTCATACATACCATTCGCTCAATTAGGGTGGTCAAGAACTTGGGATTTGGATAACACATTACACCTATTGTATAACTAAGCTAATTGAGGTTGATAGGGTACTGAATATTCCACCATCATCCCTCTTATAACCGACCGAAGAAAGAGAATGCGATTTGAAGGCTCATATTATGAGAAATATGCGATGCTTACCCGGCTATCTTGTTCCTGAGACTTTTAGTCGGAATGATGGCAATCTCTTCACATATCCTTTTATTTGTGTGGAAATCGAGAGTGAGCTTGGTGTAGTATTTCTCAATGATGACCCTCGAGGCTTTTTTGATGGTCTTCGTCCTGACACGACCCTAAAACACACGGACTTTCACCAAAAACGCAAAACAGTACAAAAAAAATCTTGTAAACCACACATTTCAGACACTTCATGCGTTGTAATCATTAAACTTAAGAGAGAAATGTTAAAATATATTGAATTTTTTAAACGTAAAATTGGGTATGGAGTAACCTCAAAATCAAACCGCACCCAGACGAAATCGTCTTCTGGCTTTATAAAAAGCAAAGCAAGTATGATTCATAGGCTTGAAATATTTTGATTTTGGTCGTAAATCTGTGAGTGAAAAGGCGATTTATTCGGATAAAAATCGTGTACGTACCATTTTGCGGAGGCAATATCAACCGGAAAGAACACAGAACACGCACGTCTCTGGGTTGTAACTGGGGAAACCTCCGCTAGGTTTTCACCATGACTGTTTACTAGTTTTATTCATTAAATAATTTCTTTATAATTAACTGTTAATTAAAAATGAAATGATTAACTTTGTTTTAAAATAATTTTTTTCTTTTGAAATTGACTCGTTGTTTTGTGTTATGGTGATAATGTTTTCTTGTTGTTGAAGTTTTCTATTAGTATTACCTTTTTTCAGTTAAAACTTTTGTTTCTGACGTTTTTATAACACTAGTGGATTTTTGAGTTTAAAATAATGTTTATTGTTAAAACTTTGTTTAAAATTTGCTGCATCTTATGTGGTATATTTGAGTCGCTCCCGTTGGCTAACCTGTCTGACCAGCTGTTTTTGACTTTTGCCTTTTCCCGGATTTTTAGTCGGGTTATAGAGTGTAGTCTCAGTGTGATTTGTGGTGGTGGAAGGTGAGGTCGTCCAGTCCGTGTCCGACTTTCACTTCTGCCCGTTACACGTTTTTCCTGGCGTACGTCGAGGACGGAAGAAAATGCTGCTGAGGATAAAGAGATAACAGACGTCCTGGTCAGCAACACCGTCGAACATTCTTTCGGACAACTCGTAAGTCGAAAAGCGAACATTTTTTGGATTTTTTTCGAGACGAAGAATCAATTTTTTTTAGATGGGGGGTTATATTGTTATTCCGGTAATTTTTTTCTTTCATGACCTTTCCTTAGAAGTTTAGCGTTGTCGGACGTTTCAGGAAGACGCTTTTTTCGGTTGTGCAAGCGAGTGCACAATCTCCGACGAGTTATGCAACTTTCATTTTGAAAAATTTTGTTTTGCAAACAAAGTTCGCGTGTTGGGAAAGAACTCAACCCGAATCGTGGCATGTCACTCCATATTTTCATCAATTGGCCACCGCCAGAAGTTCAAAAAACGTGCTTCGCACTCTTCTGGGTCGTTATGGGCTGCGGGCAATTAGGGCTACAACAAACTCAAAATCAACTTTTCAAAATAAAGAATCTTGCCTGGAAATTTTTTTAGCTAGTTAAAACACAAATTAAATGTAATGTAACAATTTGAACAACATTGAAACAATAACAAGGCACAAAGGGTTTTTTAAAACGTTTATACAACGTTCTGCTGGATGAACCTGTACTTTGGTCGTTTTCGATCCACTGTCTTGGTTACAAACGAAAACCGCTGATGATAGTAGGATGCCGAAACGATTGTACTGGTCAAAATATCAACGATTGGCTGCCTAACACCATTGGAAACGATCAAATTACAAAGTATAATAATCTTAATAATAATTAATCCTTAAGGAAGGGAAAAACAAGAATATGCTAAAACCCCAAAATCATGCAAAACCCTTTTCCCAGTAGTTTGATCAAATCTCTAGTTAAACTGATTTTTTCAACGTTTGTTCAATAGTTTCATCATTTACATGGTTTGGCCTCTCACAAACAAGAAACCTAACGCTGATGTTGGCGAGATGTCCAAAATGATTCGGAAACATGGAAAGAATTTACTAATACCAAAAAATCTCGCGAAACTCCTTTTTTCTACTTTTTGCCAGTATTTTAGTAATTTTTGACCATTTTGGTGTACTTGTCTTCCATGGTTTGTCCTGTCACAGTCACTAAACCTGACTGTGGTTGATGATGACGAGATATCCAAAACTCGCATGGCAGGCGTAAAGAATTGTTAAAACCTGGAAATCTTGCAAAACTAATTTTGTCAACTTTTTTCATTAATTGCTAATTTCCGATTATTTTGGTCCCTTGACTTTGCTAGTTTAGTGTGTGACAAAGAATAAAACGAACGCTGATTTTGGCGAGATGTGTAAAATGAATCAGAAACATGTGAAGATTTTGGTAATACCAAAAAATCTCGCGAAACTCTTTTTATAATAATTTTTACCAGTATTTTAGTATATTTCGATCATATTAGTGTACTTGTCTATCATGGTTTTGTCTGTCACAGTTAATAAAGCTAACTATGCTGGTAAGTTATTCAAAAAGCGTCTCACAAATGTAAAGAATTTGCTGAAACTTCAAAATCTTGCGAAACTCATTTCTTCAACTTTTGTCCAGTAGTTTGGGAATTTCGGTCATTTTACTGCCCCTAAATTCGATGGTTTGGCCTCACCCCGACAATAAGCCAACCCTATTGATGGGGAGAAATCCAAAACGCGTTTGACGGGCGTAAAGAATCGCTAAAACCTCGAAATCTTGCAAAATTCATTTTTTCAATTTTTTTCATTAATTGCTAATTTTTGATCATTTTGGTCCTTTGACTTCGCTAGTTTAGTGTGTGACAGACAATAAACCTAATGCTGGTGTTGGTGAGATGTCCAAAATGAATCGGAAACATGTAACGAATTTGCTAATACTCAAGAAGTCTCGCGAAACTTTTACGTCTTTTCTACTTTTAGCCAGTATTTTCGACCATTTTAATGCACTTGTCTACCATGGTTTGGTCAGTCACAGATAATAAAGCTAACAATTATGCAGGCGATGTATCCAAAAAGTGTCTCACAAATGTAAAGCTTTGCTAAAACTTGAAAATCCTGCGAAATTAATTTCTTCAACTTTCAAAACTAGTAAATTTCCGTCATTTTAATGTACTTACTCTTCCATGGTTTGACCTGTCACAGTCAATAAACCGAACGCTGATGATGGCGAGATTTCCAAAATGCGTCCGACAGATGTAAAGAATTGCGTAAAACGTCAACATCGTAGCAAAACCTATTTTCTCAACTTTTTTCCCAGAGATTTGGTCATTTCTGATAATTTTGGCCAGCTTGACATGGCGGGTTAATGTGCCACAGACAATAAACCTAACGCAGAAGATGGCGAAATTTACAAAACGTGCATGACAATGCAAATCTGCTTAACATTAAGAAAGGGGAAAAATTTGCGAAAGTCTTGAAAAAAAAATTATTATCATTTTTTTTTCAGTAGTTTGATGTTTTCCGGTAATTTTAGTGTGCCTGTCCTCGCTGGTTTGTTTATGTCAGAGAAAATATTATAACACTGATTATAGCGAGATGCTGAGACGCATCAGACATGCCGTAAGCTGCCAAACAAAAAGGCAGCGAAAAAGACAAAAATGTTCCTAAATATTTATCGTATACGTCAATAGAAAATGTGACAATTTTGTTCAGCACATTGTGTTTCCTCATTGTAGCTTTTACCACTGCTGACATTCCTCATGGCCCTTCATATCAATTAAAAGCCTTCTTGTCCTAACATGGAAGGTCGAAAAAATTCCAATAAATTGACCAAATAAGGGTGAAAGTCGCTCAACTATGTCTATGTATTGTTATTATGAAGTCTTTGCCATGGGGAATAGAAAAAAGTGAGGGAATTAAAAGATCCAAGTAAGACGGCTGAAGAGCAATTGACTCCTATTAGATAATAGTTTTTCATAGTGTCCTCTTCTATCCTCTTCTAAACCAACACAGAAGTAGTCTGATAAACAAATAAGGTCCGACGCCCTTTAAGAATTTAGTGATTTTTCAAAATTTTAGAGCGGTGGTTTAATTTTCTCAGTGAGTGTTCAATTTTCTTGATTTGTCACTCAGAATTGTAGTGTAAATAGCAAGTAGAACATACTTTATGTATCTCATATCGAATTTTATTACCGTTATAGGTTTTTATTTTTGATGCCATTGATAATCTTAATGTTTTAATCTGTAGATGCATCATATCCAAACAACACAACCACAAAAAACATTTGTTGGAATTTTTTGGATTTTGGCTTCTTTTATCTGGCCCCAGTTCCTCTGTCCTTTGAAGGGTAGAAATTAAGTTTTCTTGAAAAGCAGGTCTTCTTATTTGCCGCTAGTGGTTTTCTGTGTTGAAGTGGTCAGAGGTCCCAAGGTCAGTGGGTTTTACACCACCACATCAAAGCGGTGCTAGGAGCCGCGGTGGGTCAAAGACGTTCTGACAAGGCAAATTCTAGTAATAATATCAATTGAATAAAACAAGAAAACATTTAAAAACACTTCCTTCACGTATGTTTTTACAAATTTACAATCGATTTGCATTAAGTTGAAAAATAAAAACACATTTGTACTTATATGTTTATTTTTAGTTCCGACTTTACTGTGAAAAGTCAAAGATAAAATTACGTCGCTTTTTAGCTTTGAAAAAGACTCGTGTGAAAGTAGATCGTTAACACGTGTGTGTAATAAATTTTTTTAGCTGTTAACTAGAGGGAAAAGAAAATCAGTGACAAATAACGTTTGTCATAGATAGAGGGAAAAACGCAGAACTCGGATAGAAGTTTGAAATGGCGAAACCCGGCGGACCCAATTGTCATTAGATAGATCCGACGATTTTAAACAATTGCTATGTTAATTCTGACCTGGCGTGCGTTTATTCATTTATTATTTATCGTCTTTCATTTTTGAAAGATCTACTTCGGTTGTAGATAATTTATTGATTAATTTTTAGTTAGATACGAGATATTCCCTGTTCTGATTTCATTCTTAAACAATTAAGAACATAAAACGTCTGAATTTTTGAAAAATAACTCCTCAAAAAGAAAAACCGAGTTTGGTTAAAATTGGGCTAAACCAATGCGGGCTGAAGAAGGTAGCGGAAGATAGCGGACCAGGCGGATCCAATCGTACTGACAGATCCGATTTTTCCTTCCTGGCCGGTTTCAGCATTTTATTAATTTGTAATTTGTAACCGATCATTTTACTGTCTGACTGTCATTTTAGTCGGTCTGTCAGACGCTTCGTCATTTCTTCATCCTGAGTGTTGTGATATAAACGGGCCGAAACACAAACCAACAACTAACATGTGGAAAATAGTATTGCCGAACTTTCGGATGAGTCAGACCCAACACTGACAGACCAAAAAACAGCGTAGATAAGCAGGCCAAAATGATCAGTAATGACAAAATGAGAGGCTCATCATTTCTCAGACCACGCGAAGAATTTTCACAATTATATTAATTATCGTCTATCCGACTAAGCGGTTGATCCTTACTGACCAGTTTCGGCATTTTATTAATGCATATTTTCGGTCGTTGCCGATCCTTGCTGGATTGGCCTAAAGGTTTCGACATTTTGTCATCCTCACTGTTGGGTTAGTCAAGTCATAATAGTCAAGTCGAGACACAAACTCACCACTAATATTAGAAAATTAGTATTGCCTATATTTCGGGTAGTCATATTAATAGACTCATCATTCCTCACACCCCACGGAGAAATGTCACGATTTTATTAATTATTGTCACACTTAGCGATAAGTGGCCGACCATTAAACTGATAAACCAAATCTATCGACTGTTCAACAATACACATTTTTAGACTACTGAACCAAAGATGTAATTTTTGAAAAATATCTTACTTTATAAACAATTTGAAACAATTTCAGGAGAACATTTGATACAGAATAAAGCTTATTGTTTATTCATTTACTCAACAGTTTCAAAAATGTATAGACTGGTATATTTTTCATTAGTATGTTATATATTTTTATGTCAAAAATCATGTTTTTATATTATAAAATTTTCTCTTGGGCCTTACGCTTAAAACATGATATTATAAAATCAAATAAAACGTATTGACGTAAAATTTGATAAAATGTATTGGTAAA